ACTGTGCCTGCTGGTGGCGGGGGGGGGGGGGGGGTTGGCAGTTCCGATAAGGAGACGTAGGGCGGAGACGAAGATGAAGGAGAGGGACAGTAACTGGGGTGGCCACAATGCGCTATACTTGTCACCTCTCCTTGGACGTCACAGCTCCGAGGTCCTAAAAAAAAAATGTATTTTTAGCAATCGCATCTCGATAATTGACCTATACATTTCGATGAAAATTGGTCACCTTAATTGTATGCAGTCCGTACCTTTCGAGGAAAATTGGTCACCTTAATTGTACAGGGTTGGGCAGATAAATTGGGACAAATTTCAACTTCCTCTAAAACGACTATTTTTTAAGTGATAAAGATAATTTTTGAACATAAATATAGGCTAATAAATACGTTTCCATGTTATGCAGGTTGCGTTGTAATTTTGAGTCAGCTGGTCACAGAACGTGGGCTTAAGCAAGCCACTATCAGCTTAGTCCGCGCGCACATGCATGCCAATTCTCTTATTATGCTCCATCAATTGGCTGAAAGTAGTGTGTAGCGAACAGACGTAAACGTTGGAGGAAGAGATGATATTGACTCATCCTTACATACTTATTGCATTGACACCGACCGCTCCCCCGGTTTTCCAGGGGGGCTAAAAGGCAAAATTCAGTTAAATCAGAGGATCATCGCGAAAACAGTGGCGCGAGCTTACAACGAAGGTAGCCGCGCCATGAGAAAGCGATATACCAGCACCTCAAACATGTATTCTTATGCATTGATGCATATCAACCTGTCAAAATAGATGTTTGAGCAGCTGTGACGTTAAAAAGATTGTTTCCTCTTGAAGGGCTTGGAGAAGAGAGCAAGCACGTGCAGGTCTTTTTCGACGATGGTAACCCCATAACCGAACATATGAACAACCGCAAACACCATGTAACATCGCAACCAGCCCAGAAGACGTGATCTTAGTTTCAAAAAGCATGCAGCAGTGAGCAGACATCGTTGATGGCATTCCACTCGGTTACTTCTGACGGTCACGTGGGGCCCCCTTATTTTACGGAATCGGGAGGTGGTTCGCCATCACAGGGTACCTAACCGCTATTCCGGCAGTTCGAATTAACAAGATGGAAGAAGGCAACATCCTGCATGGAGTGATGCTCTTCGAGGAGTCAGCTCCCCGGCATACAGTAAATTAAATACAAAATATCCTGAAACGGAGGATCTCGCAAACTGTAGCCAAGGGAAAATGCCCCCTTCCTCATTAAACCTCAGCCCACACAAGTTCTGGTTGCTGGGGCGTTTTTGCGGGTGAGTCTAACGAACGAGTCCCCATGCGACTGTGGTCAGCCTCAGCAGTGCCAGTTGGCTACAATTACGAGCCATTTCAGACGGGAGATCTCGCCGCGCGTGCGGCCAGTCCAGGCACCGGTAAGGACTGATGCAGGTGGACCACGGTGACCATATTTGGTGATAAATGTGTAAAATTGGTGTGACAATATGTGATCCAAATTTGAAATGCCTATGTTTACAAATTTCTAAGCTACGACGTTCTAAATGCAAATATGTATTTTGTCCCAATTTATCTGCCCAACCCTGTATGCAGTCCGTGAATATTAACATGTTGTTGTCTGTTGATGCTGATATGAGCGTTCCTTTCAAGGCAGGACAATCCGACAATCACACAATTGCCTCTCGTTCCAACTTTCACCTATCTAAAAGAAACGACGCGCTTTACTATTGTACCAATTGTACACCATACAATACGCTTGAACTATAATAAAAGTGTGAAATCGCTCATAGAACCCGTGACGGAATCAATTGATGAGAAACGTCTCCCTACACAATATAGGAAATTTGAACAAGCGAACCTTTCGTATCGATAACATTCCGGGTTACTATATTTGTTGAAATAATTCCAGTAAACTGCGCCTGGGACAGCCAGTTGTCTCGAAGGATCATGTAACGCTGCCTCATGACAACCTTACGATGCGAGCGAGCTCCCACCTAGCACGTAAGTGTCAACGGATGTGTGTCAGATTTCCGCCAAGCATGCCCGTATGACCAGCTGAGTCGCGGTTGCGGGCCATGGGAATCCCATCAGTCGCGCAATGGAGGCAGTCTCGCTTCAATGTCCAATGATGCAGGTTATATTGTGCAGCATCCTGCTTAATTGTGTACAGCTGTTTGTAAATGTTATCTCATGTATGTAATGACTGATGATCCAGGTGTCATTGACTTTGTCTCTTTGACTTGGCCTTTTGAGTTTTTGGATTTTGGCTCTTTTCCTTTGGATTTTTTCGTAATTTGACTTTATGTCCTGTTGACTTTTCGTCTTTTGACCTTTGTCTTCTTCACTTTTTGTCCTTTTGACTTTTTGTTCCTTTGAGTTTTTGTCCTTTTGACTTTTTGGACTTTGACTATATGTCTTTTTGACTTTTTGACCTTTTGACTTTTTATTTTGACTTCATGCCCGGTTGACTTGTTTTTTGACTTTTTGTCCTTTTGACTTTCTGTCCTTTTGGTTTTTTGGATTTTGACTTTATGTCCTGTTCACTTTTTGTCTTTCGACTTTTGTCCTTTTTACTTTTTGGCAATTTGACTTTTTGCCGTTTTTACTTTTTGTCTTTTGACCTTTTGTCCATTTGACTTTTTGTCTTTTGACTTCTATGCTAGTTGACTTTTTGTTCATTGACTTTTTGGCAATTTCACTTTTTATCTTTTGACGTTTTATCCTTTTTGACTTTTTGCCTTTTGACTTTCCTCTTTGTTGACCTTTTACCTGTTGACTTTTAAGATTTTTGACTTCTTGCTTTTGACGTAACGTCTGTTGACTAATCATCCTTTTACCTTTTATCATTTGGCTTTTTGTCCGGAACCCCCGAATGACACCGGCCGGAGATTTACACCGCTGGACAAAAGACGGGACGGCAATGAGCCGCGGGATTTCAATCGGAAGACGGGAGTGTAGGACGGAGGTAAAACCGGGCGAAGAAAGGTTGCAATTACCATCTATCTTCCTTTTAAAAGGCGTCATTTTATAGCTCTCCGCAGCACCGGACATTCTGGAGCCAAGGGATGGGACTGTCACCCGCTCGAATGACATAAAACATAGCCGTTCGCAGAAAAACTAACTCATAAGTTATAAGCCAGTTCCGGTTCGGGTGCCACGGAATGCGTGAAGAAAATAAAACATCGGAAGCAGCTCTGATAAGTAGAAATGTTAGTGGAATCGTGCGACAGGTGTGCGCGAGTGCACTAAAATTTTCATACCTTTTATGTGAAGCAATAATATTTTGTTTAAAACAGTGCCTATCTATTTAGCTGCTATTATGACTCATGAATACAGTAGGCATGAGTATGTGTACGAATTAATAAAAGGTGTGAAAAATGGTTACCTTCCTCTGCAGGTGCTTAACATAAAACCTTTTTGTGATATAAAAATAATCAAATAAATTACCTTTTTGGTAATTTATTTTTACTTTATAGATCCGATTATAAATGGTTTACTTTACATTGCTTATTTGTGACATTTTGAGTTGCTAACCAATGCCTCTATGTTAGGTATGAACTATACAATAAAGTTTATATCAATTGCTAACTAATATATTAATAAATTAATATTAATATAACTAGGTATAGTATCATAATTGTTAGCTCTTATGGCTGCGCGTTAAGTTCGAGGCGGACATAATGGCTAATTGTCTCAGATGCGATGCGTGTTAAATAGAAGTTGAGGCAGTGATGCAATAGAATGGTGGCTTGAAGCAGCTCAGCTTTGGAGACAGTAAGTAGGCACAATTGAGCCGAAGTCGTAAATGAATGTCTTATTTTACGAATGCAATATTAGCAGATGCTCTTTTCAATGACTTCATACCGTACGTGGAAATATGGCATCGCTAGTCGCAGCCAATGACAATTCACAGACACAACAGTCGCGGATTTGTGGCTAAATATTCTCAGAATAACCCTAACTTCAAGGATAGGCCGGTCTTTGCCCAGTAGTGGGGATTAGGCTATATCGGCACTGGGTAGCCTCATGTCGGTAAACCCACGGTGTGCTAAAAATGCGGCCGGCACGCAATGCGCTGTTGTCACTGGCCCACCAGGACACATGTCATCCTCAATGCCCGTAAAGGTGGCCATGGCCAGGACGGCGTCACAGCCCGCCCAGCCAGGCTGAATCACAGGTGACTGTATCACACCGCTCGCTGACGTGGCGCCGCCGAACATATTTTTTTAACCCACCCACACACGGCTGATATAAGCACGCCATTATACCCTTCTGCCAATGGACCGTACCATTACTAACATGGGTGTCTCAAATCAGGAAATCAATCCGAATTCCTAGCCACTGACTCATTAAAAAACGCTGGTTTTAATTCGCTCAGAAGTTAAGTTGGATCAAGATATACGGGTGCCTTATAGACAGTTATAACCTTTAATGAAAGCTTTTGCTGACCATCAGTCGTTGTAACCCGTAGCCGTCTGCTGTGCGGTCTATTTTTCTAAGGTCAGTCGCTGACCCGACATGTTTTTAAAAACAGATATGGGAGTGCAGGGCTCGTCTCGTAACCAACACTGTTTTCCATAACCGATTTCGTTACGTTATTCAATCGTGACTTCCAAGCAGGGTCACCAGCTCGTTTTCTTCTGGCGCGTGCGCGTTTAATTCCCTGCTTTTGTTCCAGGGCTCGAACCCCAATTAGCCGAGCGACCAGCGGCGCCTGCCCCGTCCCACCTTCCCGACCCGCCTCTCCCGCGCCCGACTGTTGGTTCAAGGCCAGCTCAGGGGATCGGGTCGGCCGGGAACCGTGGGCTGAACCCTCTCCGTCCCTCCCAAACCCACCCCTTCCCCTCCCCAGCTCACCTGTGCCGCCGGCTGGACACGGACCGTCCGACCATCGCCCCGGGCTAGACGCCGCCGCGCCGCCGAAACGAGTGGTCACGTGACCGGCCCACCGACCAATCAGCGGCTACAACCGGCGGCGTACGCGGCCGGCGGCCCCCGGCGGGCGGCCGGCCGGCAGTCCGGAGACGCTGGCAGAGAGGGTGGTGCACGCGTGGTGTGTGTGGCAAGCGCAGGGACTGACACGGTTGTTGTAGCGTGGTGAGCGATTGCTGAGAGCTGAAGGATCGGTCCGGAGAAGCTGCACTTGGATTACCGTCTGAGGTGGGTTCGGGATGTTCCATTCCAGGGAAGCCAAAGCCGCCGCGTCAGCATTCGCTTGGCGGGAAGGGAGGGAGAGAGCCGCGTGGCTCGACGACCGACGTGGGTTTTAACTGGCAACCTGTTGATGAATTGGTGCGTTGGCTGCTGTGTATTTATTTTCCTTCTGTGTGCGTGAATCGTTATGTATTCTGGCCCCGCAAATATACCCATCACCCATGTGTCCCATGACTAAAAAGCTGTGAAAAGTCACTATATGACCCAGGCTTCATAGTATTCGCGGATATGTTTGCGGCGATAAGTTGGAAACAATGAAAGTTACTTTTAAATTATAAGAGCTTGAGCTTGCAGTCCTTTTATCGGAGTTTACCGGTTCATATTGCCTGCTCCCGTTTTACCGTGCAATTAGGTATGCAATGTCCTGCACTACTTTTCACAATCACCATTGTCTTTGTAATTACGCTGCCGGTGTTCCTCCAGCCTGCACCGGTCATTGAGGTCGGGTCGTTGGGTCCAGAATAGATCGTGCACCAACGCCAGGTCACAGGCCGGCTATGGGCGTTGTCAGCTCGAGTACAGCAGGTTGCACAGTGCACGCTGCACATTGCACAGTGCACAACGCCCACGGGCGCGGGCAGCGCAGACCAGGCTGGACTGCGAGATTCGTTACCTGACCCGCAGAGGTGCAGCCCACGACCTTCTCTCTTCTCTGTAACAGGCTATGCTCAGAATATGAACCCTGCGTATCGAAATACATGCATGAGTCCGATACGGTAGCATTACCATTTATCCTTGAGCTCTGTGATATGAGGCCTCTTGCACCAAAATCCTCTTGCACCAATGCATGGATTATTTTGCATCGTATACCCAGTCCAAGTCTCAAATGTAACAATTTGCATGCAAAATTTTGCAAGCACATGTAGGATTATGTATTGGGCTATTGCAAACAAATTTACCACCGTTAGATTAGCTTATTCTGAAACCAGTTTTTCGATTTTACCTAGCTAGGTAGTTTGGTGCAAGAGGCCTATGTTCGGCAAATCTCATCGCTTGTACAATGTACAGTTGCTGCAACTCAGCTTGACCTCTTTGTCCGGGGTAACATCTGCTCCAATGAACTGCAAAAGCTAGTTTGTGTTTGCGATAAGTTTTTCAACAGGCGCTGAGTAAGAGGAAGACAAGTTGATTACGTTAATTACGAGAGACTGCCTTTTCCTGTCTTGTTTGTCCAGACTGCGGCTGCTGTTCTGCTAGGTCAGACTTCCTACGGATATTTTGCTCAACTCCTCTGTAAGCAGAAATGCTCACAGATCACCGTCTCGTCTCGTCTTGTCCGGCCCGTCTCCCGTCTCGTCGCGTCCGTCTGTCGGTCCTGCCACGTCTTGGTCAATCCGTCAGCCCTCAAAAGTCTGCTGTGGGCGGACCGACGGGCCGGCGCCGGGGACCGCCCCGTCGACATGTGATCCTTCCTCGGTCCCTCCCTCTTCCCCGTGTTCCTCGCTCTCCCCCTTCCCACTCCACCCCGTTCTCAGATATCCTAACGATGGCGCCGGCCGCCCCCAGACTGACCAGCCCAATTCCGGACCGATTCCGCCGCCAGGGTGGTCGTCGTGGACGTCGTATAGGGTCCTGGACACGCGCGAGGACCGTGGGCGAGGTCGTAAATCTACATTGTAAACAGAGGCGCCGGTTATAGGGACCTTTGAAGTGGGACACGATTGTGACCCCTCACAGAAGGTCCATAAAGAGGTTTCAGAACAGACGCTCAGCGTTAGCCGTCCGGCATAATTATGTTTAGCTGATGCAGCCGTCCCTGTGTCGCTGTGCACGCCGGCTTGACGCTGCCCCAGCCACCACAGTGCACCTGTCCCATCTGTGACCGAGCGGAGAGAACCATTAGCCGACGCAGCCCGCAGACGGCCGCTCTATCTCGCGCCGCGCCGACGCCGACGGTGGCGCGCCGTCCGTCCTGTCGCCGTCCCTCCCGTCTCCACTGTTTGTGCACTGTCCTCCCTCCGCGATAGCGTCGCCTTCAGACGGGACGGACGGAGCGACCCTCGCCCCCACCCTCCCGCAGCGCGCGGCCATGGGGACAGCGCCCGGCGCCATCGCGCCATCTGCCTCCCCGCGGTCCGTCCGTCCCCGTACCGTCTTCGGGGACCCTCCGTCCCGATAGGCGCTCCCCGGGGATCGGCGGGAGGGCAGGTGCTGGCACACGGAGGGGAGGGGTGGGGGACCAGACGCGCGGGAGAGGTCCGTGTTTTGTGAAATTGGGTCGCCTGTGTTTGCTGAGCCTCCTGGGCCGAGATTGGAGTTACAGAATAACAGAAGATAGGCTCCGTTTTTCGGGTCTTTCTCAAGTATCGAATTTATGAATCGCCGTGGTTAGATAAATATACCTTTCTGTATCATTACATGTACAGAACTCTGCTGCTGAAACTATGCGGGCCCGATGGACGAAACAGGGCGTTTCCACTCGCCAATTTATTCTCTAATGGGCACAGTTCAATGGCGCGACAAATTATCACTCCGCTACCGTCACTGGTCGCTGTACTCGGACCAGTGGAGTGCATGATCGCCTCCCCGATCCGGACATTCCGCCGCTCTCGAGGCGGCGTCACTGATGGATGGGCGCCAGTGCAGCCGCAGCCGGCTTTGTCTCTCTCCTTTGGGCAGCTCCAATTTGTGCCCGTAGCGGGCGGCCGCGGACCGTATCGGCCATCTCGGCACCGCCCCGGAGGCGTTCTGCTAGCACCCAGCCGGCTCGCGCGCTGCACGATCCCGTCACGACAGCGGCGGCCACACCCCGGTACCGGCCTCGGCAGCCTCAGAGTCCTCGGACCGCGGCTGAAGGTGCGGCCGGTCTCCGGAGCTGACCGGTAGCCGGCCCGGCCGCCGGCGACCGGTACAGTTAGCCGACGGAGCAGCCCCGGTCACTGGTCAGACGCTGGCGGGCAGCGCCGTGCACTCCGCTCATGACTGTCGTGGTAACTCAGTACGCCACCGGTACCGCACGCCACCGGTACGCCATCGGTCCGCCACGGTATTCCTTCGGTAGGTACGCCCCAAGCCGAGCTAGGTGAACAGGTAGCGCATTGGGCCATCTGGATCGCCTACCGTCTCTCTGAGAATGACCCGCTTCCCATGTGGCCGGTTGTGCGGACCAGTTCATGAGATCCATAACAGATAACCGGGAAATGACGCGCCACAATACTGTGCGATGTGCACGGAATACCGTCAAAATTCTGCACTTAACTGCTCCGGTAGCCGTGGAAACCTAACGGAACTGGCGGGAGGAGCGGCGTGCACGCCTGGGGGTGAGTCGGGCGGTTGAACGGCCCCATTAGCGTCCAATTGTGCTGGCAGCGCGCCGCTGACCGCGGGCAGGGCTACTCTGTTGACAGGCGGCGCTATAGCGCTTCCCGACGTGCAATCGATGTGGCCATTGAACGGCGCCCGCGGCCGGCACTTGAGCGCCCATGGACGGCCGTCAGATCGAAACAGCGGCCGTCCTAAGTTAGCGCCGGCCGCCCCGCCGACGTCTGATGGCCGCTTATGGCCCCCGGCCGGGCGGCAGCCGCAGCGGTCCAGGGCGCCTCACGACCGGCGCCCGGCCTCCACCTGGGCTCAACCACCGCCCGCTTCCTGCCTATAACCGGCACGATCACCTCTGAATGCAGATTCACACCGGATTCGGTGCGCTCGGCGGGCGCCGGCCGCCCGATGCGGGCCTAATAACAGCTCCCGGGGCGCCACTTCTCACGGCCCGACCCGGCGGCGGTCGGCGGTCACTCACCCGCGGTGTGACCGTGACTCAGCGTAACCTCAGGTCAGGGGTCACGGCGTGACTCCGACTCCGGACGTGCCGACGGACCGACTCCGCTGTGAGTCACACACGTAGTCACACGCGCCGATTCGCCGTAACGTCGCAGCGTCGCTGAGATTGATTGGGCCTGTCGACTGGTCGGACTACGATCTGGGCACTGCTGCGTGTCTGCCGTTCCGTGGGAGAGGCTGTCGACAGGCTGGGCCGGCGCTCTCACCCCCGAGTCATCTGTCAGCTGGGGGCTGGCCGCTCCGAGCGTCAAACACTGGACTCGAGCGCTGCTGCGGTGCTGCCGTGCGCACTGATTAGCGGTGCAGGCCGGCACGACTGTGTGCGGTTTGTCTGGGGCGTGAGCCGCCGCCCGGCCACACCCACCGCGAGGGACCGGGGCGGCACGCACCCGCGGCCGGCCCGCACACTATCGAGGAAACTCGCACCGCAGCGCCCGCATGCAGCCGCTTTTTGTATCACCGATTGCTTTGGGGTTCCCATGGGTGGCCGAGCGGTCATGGCGGCAGTAACCACGCGGTGGACAACGCTGCCGGCGCTGCAGGCTAATCGGGGATTTTGTCGTACGCTATGTGCGGTTCCAGGGAAGTGCCTATACCGCAGGGCGACTAACTGATAACTGCTGTGGTCCCGAGCTCAGTCCAGCTTCCCTCCGCAACCGATCGACCGATGGCCGAAGATTGACTGCGGTTTACCGTTCAGAAATATCCACAGATAACCGATCGGCCCGTAGCAATTATCTTTCCTAATAAAGCTTCTTTGTTTTGTGGTTTGTGCTGTCACGCTGTCTGGCAAACGAGCATCGCTTATTTATGGATCGGTTGTTATCATATTTACTGAAATGTACCAAGCTTAATTAATTCTAGGAACATTCTAGCGAGTACCACAGCAGACTTGTGAATACCTTCCGTGTATCGGTTAAGTTTTAATTAGTATTGTTACGTACTACTAGTTATGTTAATGAGCAACGTAACAAGTAACGTCACTTAGCCTTGTTAATGCCGTTTTACACGAAATGATCAATATTTACATTCACCTCGGGTTGAATTATAGCTGCAACATCTACGTGACATGAACAACCAATTAGGTACCTATTTATGCATAATTTGTTGCAATACTTTGCATTCTGTTTGGAAGACTGTCTGTCTCTCAGACTGCGGGACCTCGGCATCTCTGATTGGGCTGGTCCCTCTGGCCTTCAGATAGATCCGATTTCCATGGTCGTCCGGCCCCTCGTCGGGCCACGTGGCAAACCATGCGCCGTCTGTGACCGGCCAACCCCTACCATCAAACATGCACAAAAGACCTCGCGCCCGGTCGTCGCTTTCTTGCACCCTTGGTCTTTGAGCTCCGTCTCACAAAGCGCCGCCCCTCAGAACCTCGTACTATGCCTCTCTGAGGCTCTCCTCATCTCCTGCTCCGCGGGACCCTCTCCTCTTCTCTCCTCTCCTGTCACACTCTCCCCCGCTGTGCTCCGTGGCCCTCACAGCCGGCTGCCTGGGGACCAAGAAAATGCTCTCTGGACGTGACCGTCCCATTGAGGCGGTGACGGGGCACCTTCACGGTTCCCGGTCTCCCGGGACGGGACGGTGGGGCGGATCGACGGGACAGGCTCCACCTGGCGCTGACGGACGCGGAGATATACCCTCCGGTGCACACGGCTCCTCCTGTGCCCGCAGACAGGAGTGTAAATAATCAGTGTGGGAGAGAGATGGGGTCAGTGTTCCCAGAGGATGCTGCGGGGGGCGGCTGTCGTCGTTCGCTGGGTAGCAGCTTGTCGGCAGGTAAAGCCCGTCGTTCAGCGATTCATAAGTCTCATTTTATTCAGAGATTCATACGTCCCGTTTTATTCAGCGATATCTGCGACACCAATGGCGTCTGGTGCCGGGTCGTGGATCCAAACTCCGTTCTACCACGCTGACCTCTGGGGCTGTGACTCAGGCCGGTCGCGAGCGCCGGTCCCTCATCTCCGGCCGGTGCCCTGCGGCCGGAGCGTGGCTGGTCGGGCGCCCATCGCCAGGGCGCCCCGGGCGCGGGCACTTGTTTTTCTACCTGCCCGTCCGCGCGATTAGCGGGAAGGGAGGGCAGAAAATCACCGACCATCTCCTATCGGCAGCGACCCTCCCCCTTTCGCCGCGGCTAAAAACCTGGCTCGCCAGGTGCAGGCACGGAGAAGGGACGGAGCGGACGGTCTGTTGTCGACCGTGAGGCTGTTTGCCACTGCCACGGACGGCTCTGATTATGAGATGCGCTGCCCGCTCGGCCCGGCGCCGCGGACCCGGCCGGTCGCGGGGATGTTTGTTGCCTTGGTCGCTGGGTTTCTCGTGTGCTTTGTTTTAACAAAGCTATCGCTCACGGTCACGCCGTCTTGCTAATTACTACGAAGACAATGGCGTGGCCCAAGTTTTCCAAGTGAGTAACTTTGACGCAGCGTTATGAGGATCTCGAGGGAATTTAATTAGCCTGAAACAATGTCGACAGGATGAGCTGAGGCGAGGCTTGGAGTAGTGCACCCCGACCTCGGAGACCTCGGCGCCCGGGAGCACGAGGGCTGTGTTTGAGTACGGCGGGCCGGGGCTCGGCTGGCTCCACCGGCAGGTGTATTCGGGATGGGGTTTCGCCACAACAGGAACCCCTGTTGGTGCCGATTGCGGCGCTACACGGTGCGCACTGCACCTGTCGCGGGCCAGACTGTGGCCGGTGTATTCTCACGGCCCCGCATGTGTTATTACGGGAGCTGTTGTGGTCTGATCGGACATCCTGCGGCGGTCGCAGGTGGCCGGCGGTCGGTCGGGGTCTCTAGTCTCTACCCGCTCCTCTCTTCCCGGATAGAGCGGTGACCCCGCGAGCGGGGCTTATGTCTGAGCCTAAACAGCGGAGGTCAAACCTCGCTGCGTGTACTGTCCGAGTCGCTGTCGATTGCAGCCTACTGTTATATATCTGCTAGTTATGGCCTGGCGCGGTTGAATTATCACACCACTTCGGTGGGCGGAGCCGTGCGTCATCAGGCCGTCGTTTTTGTACCCGTCTGACCCGCCGGGCGCGTGACGGGCTAACGAACGGTATGGCCTACTGCTGGCTGCACGCACACTTACTGTCTGTGTATACACGCACAGTGGGTGCACGGTGCACGCGGAGGGGCGCCCGTGCAGGCGTGATGGACGGTGTCCGGGCGAGCACGAGCGGCGCCGGGCCGGGCGCGTGCAGACGGACACCTCTGGCACCTCGCCCGACACCAGTGGCCGACACCACTGGCCGACATTCAGAGGTGATCGGGACGCGGCCCGCCGACAGATTTCGTGTACCAGAGGCTGGAGTCTAGACTTGCTGCCCCCACCGGCGCCAGAGCTGCGGAAGCCGACTGGCCGTCGCTCGAGCTGCCGCCGAGCTGCCGGCGGAAAACCGATAGGCGATGGCTGATCGGGGTTTTATCCGGAAACAGCATGCAGAGCGCGGCGCCAGGCGACAGACTGGGACTCCCCGGACAGACTGCGACTGCGGAAAGTGTCTGAAGGTGGCGCCTGCCTTCTAAACGGGTCTGACACTGACAGCATCTTGGGGATTAGGAGCGGGGTGGCTGACGAATCATTGTTTCCATGAGGAACAGAACAGGACAGGCTAGCTATGAGTCAGACATGATTATCGATGAATGCTTCATCACTAACTTATCAATCTCTCGGCTCGTGTGACCGGCCGTCTTTACCGCGGACCGTGCATGACCGTGCTTCTGTATGTTTCAGTGATGCGCTGCTAGACCGTCTCCGCACCACAGCTCGATCTCCCGTGTCTGCCCGCCCGCCGCGCCATGGCGGTCCCGTCACTGAGCTGTCTGCTGGTGCTGGCCGGTCTGTCCGCGGCCTCCGCCCTCTGGCAGGAGGACCTGACGCCCCGGCGATACGTCCCACTCGGTGAGTACCTGCAGCCTCGCGCGACTGGTGGTACAGGTGACATCCGTTCTGGCACGACACACAGGTGTCTGTGCGAGCCGCCGTGTGTGTAACTACCAGTCTGACCCGATCACCAGCTGTGCAGGCCACAGAACGACCGGTAGTCGGTCCGAATGGCGGGACTCGTCTGTGCACACTGCACACTGCACCACCTGTGAACCGGCAGTTCCTTGCACGTCGTGAAATGCCTCCACGCAGAGGAGATTTCGCCCGATTAGGAATGATGTGATATCCGGAACAAGCAGACACATTGAGGTCATCCCATTTTTACCGTGCCATCTTTTTGGCCTGCGCGATGAACTTCAGGCTTGCACAATATCGTTGCGTGCAACGTCGCCAACGGAGCTGGGCCCAGGGATGATGGCTGTCAGTGACCATTGCGCTTACCGGCAGTACTTTCTCCCCGCAGAAGTGAGCTGAAGTTGTGCTAACCGTAATTAATTCACGGTTACTCGTAAATTATCCCGTATGAGTATTTCCATTGTCTCGACACCAATCAGTGGGCCATTGGTCACGCCCAGGTATTGCGGCTGCACTGATCGGGTGCTGCAATTTTATCGGCCGGTTTTTCTGCTGGAACTGCACTCCCTCTCCCCCGCCTCGGTACCCACCGGCTGACCGGGACAATGGCACAGACTGCTTCGTAGAAATAGCCGTGTAATTGTCGGGCGGCGGCCGGGAGAACGCGCTGTGCCGTGGGAACTTGCCGCCTGTCTCCGTGCACCGGCCGGCGCCGCTCATTGGTCGGCTCGTCACTGACGTCACCGGTGATTTGTCGGCGCCCTAGTCGTCCGCTCCCTAATTTGGGGTCAGCGCTCTCCGCGGCACCCACCAGCAGGCGCCGGAGACTGGAGCAGTCGACGGCCTGTCTGTCTATCATCAGAGGCCGGCACTGATGCTACACACAGTACCTACACAGTACACAGCGAGCAGAGCGGTGACCCAACAATGACCGAGCAATGACCGGGTGTTGACCGGTGGGTGACCGGACAGTGACCAATGACCAGTCACGTGCCGCCGTTCGCAGGAGGAACGTGGCACGGTCTGGAGTGGTTGGTCGGACCGTCCGTCTGTTTTGGCTTGCGAATGTGTTTACCGAGTGGTCGGGATAGCAGTCAGCGAGGAGACGCTATCGTGGCGCGGCCATCGGACCCATCAGACCCGGAGGGGTAGGGGTTAGGGGTGGGGTGAGGACGGCCACCACGTGCCACGCGATAACTGAGGTCTCTTGCCTGGAATGTGCGCCGATATAATCTGTTCGCGCTTTATATTTTGTTATTATTGTATTGTTATATTATGTGTTAAGCATAGGAGAGCGCAGAAATATCGACGTTCTGCCGCCTCTGCATTGTAGCTCCACCGGCCTGAATTTCTTTCGGCTGCACTTTCATTCTTGGACGCCTCGACGCGGAGCGAACAGAGCATGAATCCCAAATCAGGGCGTCCATTGAGGCAAACGACATGTTCCAGATTTCCAGACGTCGGCGCCGACGATATGTATTCTGCAAGCTCGTCGAAGAAAAAATCTCATTTATATTCCGCTATTATGAGCGGGCAAACTCGACCCAACTAACTTATGGAGAATGGGACGGCCGGCGCTAGCGGCGGCAATGGATTGCCAAACGGAGGGACTGCAATCGCAGATGAGATCGGCGCTGCGGCCGGCGGGCCTCGTCGACGAAAATTCATCGCGTCTCTGGAATAGCCGACATCGACGTCTGAGCTCTCTCCGCGACCCGGTCACGGCCCCGTAGGCTGAGCTGACCGGGGGCAGTGATCGGAGGGGTCGGCCCGACCCGACCCTCCCCGTGGGAACTGGAGCTGATCTAGGGCTTTGGAGCCGAGCCAGAGCCGGGTGCCGGCGGGCGCGCATTGTCCTCCACTGCACCCCGCCGTCGGGTGTCACGCGCTCCGTGCCGTGCCAGAGGACTGCGGGCTCGCGCTGGCACCGGCTGGCGGATTAGAATGCCAGCCGCGCACCGATGGCGTCGCGATGTATTGTGCTGCCGGCGTGCGAGCGTGTTGTCGGAGGCACCCCGGCCGCGCCCGGCTGTATACACCGTTTGATAGGCGGCTCATCGCGCACCCGGCCGGACCAGACGGCATTCCGCGTGTCATTCCGCCGTCATTCAGGCGCCGACGCGCCGTGTCGCCGCGCGCCAAAACAACATATTTGTCCTCTGGCGCTGGGCGCCGGTGTGTGCTCCGTACAGTGCTGAGAACGCGTCACGCCGCCATCGCTGTCCGCTGCGTGCCCGTCCTTTGTCGTGACGGTGGAGTCCGTTGGAAGGGTCATGGGGCCGCGGGCCGATGTGCCATGTGGTGGATGACATGGAGACGGCTGCGTCTGGCTTCCACAGCCGGCTCTATGACCGGCTCTTCGCTCCATACAGGGTCAGTTCCACCCATCTCAGCAGAGCCATCGGTCTCGACCGGCCGAATTCGGCTCTCGTGCCGTGTATCTACCTGAGCGGTAGTAACCCACTCCCTTTATGCAACCCGCGGCAAGTTTCCGTCTGTGAGGAAAATCCGCTGCGCTGCCGGGCCAGCTTAATGTCCGGTGCACCGAGACGAGGGTGAACGGTCCGGCCGGCACGAGATGAGGTGACGTGGCCGGCGGACGATGGAGATCTCAGATTAGCGGTCCGGCCCGGGCCTTATCACCCTGCTGGGAGTGTCAGCCACGGGCGCTAACGGTGAACCGCGCGGAGGTGGGGAGCTGAGCCGATTTGGGAGACCCGTGTCGGTGACTCGCCGGAGATCACCGGGCCGACCCACCCTGTTCTGAGGCTCTGGGACTGGTCCGGCGTGCGGCGCGGCTCACCGCGACCGGGCCAGATCTACTCATCGGATGGGCTCACATGAACAATGCTGGCGTGCTGCCGCCGCCCGAGAGAGCTAAATTTGGCGCCACCGGCGCGGCCGTCGGGCGGAGCGGAGGCGCGGTAAGTGCCAGCCATAAACTGGCCAGAAGGTCAGACCAAACACGACCGTCGGGGCCTGTTCGTTTGCTGCTCGCTCTCTGCTAGTCCCGTGGCTCCATCGGTGAGCGCAGGCCGGACCACTGCTGTGCCGGTGATCCGGTTTTTATGCGGCCGGGAGGGGGCAGGAGCGAGGACCGATGAGTGATTCGACTGCGCCGCACGGCCCCCACTCCCCCAGTCGGTGACTGAGTGTGGCGATTTGGCGTGATGACGCTGCACGGACCCGGCCGTTGTTTCGCGCTGATGGCTCCGGTTGAATATGAAGCGCGCTGCGTGCGGCCGTGGCTGCAGGAGTGCTGGCTCACCCCTCCGCCGCGGGCCGGGCGCACGCTGACTGCTGCGGGACCCGCTCACCGACTGCATCCCCTCCCCGCGCTGCTGGCGGCCCGCCGATACCCTCTGTATGTGCACTCTCCGGTCCTTTGTCCGGTGACCCGACTGGCCAGCAGCCCGCGCGCCTCCTTTTTGCGGTGCTGTGTTTTTGTGCGTGGCCTGCGCTCGCTGCGGCCACAGGGCGCCTCTCTCCGGTGGAGGCTGGCCGTGCGTGAGCGGTCGTCACGACACGGGTCCATCCTATCGGCGCTCGGAGGCGGTGGGCGGCGCGGTCCGCCTCCCGCAGCCACCGGCGCGGCGTCCGGCGGTGGGGTCACACATGGGGTCGGCACGAGCGGTGCAGGCGGGTCACGGCCGGACGGACTGACCGGGTCTCTCGCTCGGTAGGCGGTCTGTGGGCGCTGACTGCTGCTGACTTCTGCTGCTGATGGCCGTCAGCGGTAGGTCAGCGGTGGGACGACTTCAGCTGACGTGCGGGGCAGGTCGGAGGTGGCTACTGCAGACACTGAACGACCCGGGCACGTACGACGCAGCTGTCCGCTGCCCACGCGGCCGGCCCGAGTGACCATTTCACCGGGAATGATCCGCCTCAGGGCCGTTTCAATTGGTCAGCCGAGCGACGTGGCCGGCCGCGCGTCGTCTCTGGGGAGGTTGTGTACCGATTCCCTGTATTGCGGGTCCGCTGCCGAAGCCATTGGGATTCCGACTGTCGGTCTGCGGCGTTGATCAAACATTCTCCGCTCTATTTGGCCGCTCCTCAACAAACCTACATTTTCCGGCGACCGGCCGTCTCTCTCGAACCCTGCAGCTGTGACTGGCTCGGTTGGTGTGAGCTGCAACGCTGGATTGCGCCATTTGCCGCGGATTGGGGCGTCAGTGGACCGCCGCCGTTCCAGTCCCGCTGCAGGCAGCACTGTCGGCCGGCGTTGCTTAGCGCGCTGCGCCGCGTCGCCACTAATTTGATGGCCTCGTAAAGGGTGCTGTTCGCGTCTCCCCAGAACTGTGGTCGGTGCTGACGGCTCCGGAGACAAGCCTATGTGCCGCACCGGTGACAAGTGAGGCTCGTCGGGCCCGTCGGCTGTTCCCGTCACGGTGACACATTGCGTGCGGCTGCCGCAGGATGTGAGAAGGGTGAGGGGAGAGGGTGCAACGGGCCAGCTGTATCGCCGCCTCTCCCCCGTCCACCGCTGGCCGCTCGCCAGACCGCCCGAGTGACTGATCTTCCCCTCTCCATATCTCCGCCCATTTAGCCTCCTTCCCCTCTCCCTTCCTCTCCTCCCTCTCTGCGGTCGCGGAGATGGCCGGAGATGCGGTGTGACGCTACCGCCGCTGTGGGTGGCTGTCACGGGTGTCACGTTACACGCCCCGTGACGCACCGTCTTATGGCGTGACAGACTCCCAGTGAGATCACCTGTGCTTCTGCTCCCCGCTTTCTCCTGATGTAACTTGTGGTCTCGTACTTAGAGCATACACTGAATTAAATCCACGATTTTGGTTAGTTTTATCCTGGCACGCATAAAGCTGTCGTGCGTGCAGTGCGCGGTCGGATGTTCGTGGGACGTGGCTAGACGGCCTCCTGCAGGTGACTGACCGCCACAAGCGCCGCTGAGCACGCGACTGCTGTCGGCTTAGACCACCCCCTGC